AGTAAAATAATTAGTGAGAACAAGCAAAAATTTTACCTGTCTTTTTGCTTGCGGTAATGGTCCTACGATATCCATTCCCCATTTCATAAATGGCCGCGGCAAAATGACTGGATGTAATAATCCCGCAGGTTTATGCATATTGTTACCGTACTTCTGGCATTTATCACATTTGGCTACGAAACTTTCTGCCTCCTCTTCCATTTTAGGCCAGTAATAACCTGCCCTAATTAAGGTTCTTACTAGTGATCTTCCACCTGCGTGATTCTCGTAATGACCCTCGTGTGTTTCTCTCATTACATACTCTGTTTGTGAAGGTCCAAGGCATCTTGCTAAGGGTCCACCAAACATTTTACGATATAGATTGCCTTGTTTTAAGCAGTACCGAGCGGCCTGCCTTCGAAGCGCATATGCCTTTTTCTTGTCATCAGGGACGGTTCCATACTGCAAAAAAGCAACAATTTCGTTCCTCCAATCCTAGGTTAAGTTATTAAAATTTACCTCATTCGCATCAGGATCAAAAACTGAATGAAATAAATGTATCATTGAGGCATTTGCATCGTTTTCCACGTCAGCCGCAAATGCGAGATTAGCTAGGGCGTCTGCTTCAAGATTTTCGTCCCTGGGTATTTGTCTAATCTTCCAATGTTGAAATTGTTTTACCAATTCCTGTACCTTTTTCTAAATACTGCTGCATCCTTGCTTCCCTGGCTTTATAAGTCCCCAGCATTTGATTAACTATGAGTTGTGAATCACTCTTGATTATAATCTGATTTATGCCAAGTTCCCGTGCCAGTTCTAAACCTGCAATCATAGCCTCATATTCTGCCTCATTGTTAGTTATGGAATGACATTTAATAGTTTGCCGAATGGTTTCACCCGTAGGTGGTACCAATACTATCCCCAAACCTGCTCTTCAGATGAGCCATCAGTGAATAAAGTCCAAGTTCCTGGGTTGGCTCTATTGAACACCTGTAATTCTTTTTCTGCTTCTAACTGTATTCCCTGACTAAAATCAACCACGAAATCAACTAATACTTGCGATTTTATAGCAGTTCTAGGTTGGTATGCAATTTCGTATTCACTTAACTCTATTGTCCACTTAGCTAACCTACCTGATACTCATGCTTATGTAGTATGTTACGTAAAGGGTAGGTAGTTACCACAACGATAGGATGGCATTGAAAGTAAGGTCTTAACTTCCTAGATGCCATGATTAGCGCAAGTGCAAGTTTTTCTAACTGAGGATACCTCGTTTATGCATCTAACAAAGATTTACTTACATAATAGATATGTGATTGTTTACCTTGCTCTTCTCGGACCAGAACAACACTTACCGCCACCTCCGAAATAGCAAGGTATAGGAGTAACTTTTCCCCAGCTTTTGGTTTTGCCAACAGAGGCGGATTTGATAAGTACGTTTTCAAATTCCTAAGTGCTTGTTGACATTCCTCATTCCATTCAAAATGATCCTGCTTTTTAAGAGCTGAGAAGAGTTTAAAACACTTCTCTGATGATTTAGAGATGAATCTTCCCAAGGCCGCAATTCTCCCTGTTAATCTTTGAACTTCTTCCTTGTTTGAAAGTATGTCAGGGATTTCTTCAATGGCTTTAATATGTGCAGGATTTACTTCAATTCCACAGTTAGAAATAAGAAAACCCAAAAACTTGCCTGATGCAACGCCAAATGCATAATTTTCGGGATTTAACTTCACATTATATTTATGCAGAATTGAAAATGTGTCAGACAAGTGTGATATGTGATTTTATGAGTGTTGAGTTTTAACAAGCATATCATCTATATATACCTCCATTGTCTTTCCTAAATATTCCTGAAACATTTTGGTAACTAACCTCTGGTACGTTGCACCTGCATTCTGTAGACCAAAGGGCATTACTTTATAACAATAAGTCCCCCTGTCTGTTATGAATGAAGTTTTTTCTTCATATGCCGGATCCATTTTAATCTGATTATATCCTGAATATGCATCAATCAATTGATCTATATGTGGTAGTGGAAAAGAATCTTCAGGGCAGGCTTTGTTAAGATCTGTATAATCTACATAAACCCGCCACTTACCATTTTTCTTTGGAACCACAACAGTATTAGCTAACCAGTTAGGATACTTTACCTCTCGAACGGAAATAATTTTTAGCAATTTTTGGACTTCTTCTTGAATCATGCGATTCTTGAAAGTTCCCTACTTTCTTTTCTTTCGCTTCACAGGAGGATATGATAGATCTTCATTTAGTTTATGAGTCATCACCTCCGGTGGTATTCCTGTCATGTCGGAGTGGGACCAAGCGAAGCAGTCCATGTTAGTTTTCAAAAATTCGATTAACTTACCTTTCATTCCTTGGTCAAGATTAGCCCCGACATAGACTTTTTTATCAGGCCACTGAGCAAACAACACGACATGTTCTAATTCCTCTATCATTGTTTTGATATCTTCATTCTCTTCTGGTTCTTGAATGGTATCAGGCCTTGAGTCTACATCTGTTCGCACTTGTTCAGTTAAGGTTTGTGTTGTGGTGTCCTCAACTGCCTTCTGTGATTACTATTTGCCTTCACTTCTCGTGCTTGTATCTGCAACGGAGTTAATAGCCCTGGATGTATGTTGATCTCCGTGAATTTGACAAATTCCCCATGGCGATGGGAATTTGATAACTTGATACAAGGTTGAAGGAACAACATCTATTTCATGGATCCATGGTCTCCCCAGAATCACGTTGTAAGACATCTCCATGTCTACTACCTGGAACTTTGTATCTTTGATGACCCCTTCAACAAAAGTGGTGAGTGTTACTTCTCCTTTTGTGACGACACTAGAATTATCGAATCCAGATAGAGTATGCGCCTTTGGTATTACTCCATCTTCAACTTGCATCTCACGTAGCACTCTTAGCAAAATAATGTTCACGGAACTACCTGGATCAATCAAAACTCGTTTCACATTAGTATCATGCACAATTAAAGATATTACCAGTACATCGTTATGAGGGATTAATACGCCATATGTATCTGTATTACTGAATGTAATATTGCCTTCTTCTAGAACATGCCGCACCCGTTTCCCTTGGGTAATAGTTATTTGGAAGTTTTGTTAGCCGCAGCATATGACACACCATTAATGTCTTCACCCCCACTTATAACGTTAACAGTTCTTTTGGGAGAAGGTGGCTTTGGAGGCTCCTGCCTGTTCTTCATGTAAGCTTGCTTGCCTTTCTCGCTGAACAACTCTGTAAGATATCCTTGTTTTAATAAATGATCAACTTCACTTTGTAAAAACCTGCAATCTGCTATTTTATGCCCGTGATCATTATAGAACTCGCAGCAATGGTCAGGGTTGCGCCTATTTGGATTCGATCTCATTTCCTTTGGCCATCGAACCTTATCTCCCATACTTTTCAAAACAGCTACGAGCTCGGAGGTGCTGACGTTGAAGTTGTAACCTCCGAATCTCGCTTTTAAATTTCTATCATCATCCCGTTACTCATAGTTGTTTCGCTCGTTCCTAAATCTTGATGAAGAACCTGATTCTCTATTTCTTGATCTGTGATCGTGCCTTTGATTATCCTGTTTTGACCGTGAGTCTTTCCTCGTAGGTCCCATATAAGGCTCGTACCTATTTTTACCGGATCTTTTTTCGTTCTCTGCACGTCTTGAACGTATACTTTCTTCTTTTTGAGATCGGGGAACAATATCTTCCTCAATCCTCAACTTCGTACTATACCTGTTATAAACATCGTCCCACGTTGTAGCTGGGAATTCTCGAAGGCTTTCCTTTAGTCTCCTCGTAGCTTTCGAGCTTTTTTCATTCAAATTGCTTGTGAAAGTTATAGTNTTATCAGATTTCCGGTAACGGAACCAATTTGTTTAACCAAAAAATAGAATTTTAGTCAAAGCTATAATTTAGAAGAACGTGGGTTACTGATAATCAAAAGAATATGTAGAAGAGAATAATTTGGAGTAACCAGAATGTAATCAGGAGAAAAATAAGTGAATCAGAGTATATTTCAATTGTGTCTGTCCTTACAAGTGACTAGATACCTCCATTTTATAGGTGTCTTGAAGGTATGTGTTTCCTTCAAATCATAATGAGGCTATTATGAATAATTAAAAACATTAAATGCTACGTTACACAATCATTGTAATCAATACAAATTCTCTAACATATCCGGTATTTAATGCCTATCGAATTCCGTATCTACGCTCTTTATTATGGTCAGATCCGTTCCTTTTGATAAATGATCTAAATAGGTACGGGCGCTGAATCCTTCAAATGTCCTCTCGTGCCTCTTCCTTTGCCTTTGCTCGTTTCTATTACTGCCCGTGACTCTTGACTAATTATAATTTTTTGACTATTTGACCAGTCCACATGTCTCAATATATATAAATTCAATTTTTCCCAATACACATCTGCTCCTTATTTTCTTATTAAATCTTCTTTTAGGGTATTAGCTACTAAGGAAAGGTCATAGCTGCTGCATGATCGAAAATTACTGGAATATATATATTGGTAAGAAGGGTGAATTCTGTTATATAAACGTTATGAATTGATCATTATATAAATGTAATTTAGGAATAAATTCCTCCTTTTTAGATTTAAATTTCTCTACCCCTCTCTCTCTCTTTTTTCCATTTCAAAATCATCTTAATTTCGACTTTATACTTATTCAATATTGAGTGAATTTCGACCTCCTAAACCTTTTCTGTCTAGAAAACCGAATCTCTAACCTTGAACTCTAAGTGAATTCATAGAATGAGATCATGAACACCATAATTTTTTTAAAAAATTCCAAAATTCTCCAAAGGTAAAAAAAAACCCCTCTATTATGGATTATAATACTTTTAATATATTTCAAAATTAAGAGGTTAACATATTTTTAAAAAGTTTACTAAAAAAGATATTACATGTTCATTTTTAATTGGCTGATTTCACAAACCATATAAGTTTATAAACTTCGACAGGTTTTTTACTAATATTTTTTTTTTATTACATTTGCTCAACATTTGAGCAAATAGGCCTATCATATTTCATTTCAAGTTCAAAACAAGATTTATTTCAAGTCAAAACTACTACTCCATTGTCAAATCTCAGTATACAGCTCAAACAGCAGAAACCAATGAGATGTAGATATGGAATCAGCTGACAATCACCAGCGTGATCAGCAGCAATGTCGAAGTCCTTTTCTCAAAACATGAAATCGATTTTCCGTTTAAAGTCCCCAGTCATTTCAAGAACCATTTCAGCATCTCCATTTTCTTCTTCCCCTGTCTCATCAAACTTACCCGCAGCAATCCTCAATGCCAAGACCCTTAGCCAAGCCATGCAGCTATTCAACTCAGCATCCAGAAAAACAGACCCAATAAAGGATCTTACACTACACTTAGCCATCATTCATTACTTAACCCGAGCTAGATTGTATCTCGACGCCAGATGTTTGATAAAATGCCTCATCGAAAATCTTAGTAAAACCAGCAACCCCAGAAAGGTTTGCTCTTTAATTTTCAATTCCCTTAGTAAAATAGATTTTGGGTGTCGTTCTAATGTGTTTGGGGTGTTGATTATTGCGTTATCTGAAATGGGTTTTCTTGATGATGCCTACTGGGTGTACCAAAAGATGGGGGAGTTACCCTCTTTGCCTGCTTGTAATGCTCTTTTAGATGGGTTTGTGAAAATGGGTAAGTTTGAATTCATGTGGGGTATTTATAGGAATATGCTCACATTAGGGTTATGTCCTAGTATAGTGACATATGGAGTATTGATTGATGCATGCTGTCTGAAAGGTGAGATTTTGAAAGCTAAATTGCTATATGATGAGATGGCTGAGAAAGGGATTAAACCAAATGTTGTGATATGTACTACTCTGATACGCGGGTTTTGCAGTGGGGATAAGATACTGGAAGCTGAAAGCATGTTCATGAAAATGCGGGAGGTTGGAGTTAAGCCTAATCTTTACACTTATAATACTCTGATGGATGGCTATGGCAAGATCGCTGATGCCGGAAGAGCCTTTCAGCTGTATCAAGAAATGATGAATCATGGAATTCTTCCGAATGTTGTTACTTTTGGTATCTTGATCAATATGCTCTGCAAAGTGGGTGAAGTGATAGCAGCGAGGAATTTCTTTGCATGTATGGTGAAGTTTGGGGTACATCCCAATTTATTTGTCTATAATTGTCTGATTGATGGCTGTTGTAATTCGTATGATGTGTCAACCGCGCTAGAGATGCATTCTGAGATGGAAAAGCTTGGTATTTCTCCAGATGTTGTAACTTATGGTACACTTATAAAGGGTCATTGTACTGTGGGGCAAGTGGACGAAGGAGAGAGGCTTTTGCAGAAAATGGACGAAACAGGGGTGGTTGTGAACTCTGTTGTTTATAATCAGTTGATTAATAGGTACTGCGAGGATAGAAATATGGAGAAGGCTTTGGCATTGTGTTCTCAGATGATAGAGAAGGGTGTCCAGCCCAGTGTAGTCACCTTCTCGATATTGATAGATGGCTTTTGCAAGGTAGGGAATGTAGAAGCTGCAATGGGTGTATATACTGAAATGATTATTAAAGACTTGAAACCTGATGTGGTTGCTTATACAGCTTTGATTGATGGTCACTTCAAAAAAAGAAACACTACTTCTGCTCTACGGCTATATAAGGAGATGATGGAGGTTGGAGTTGTTCCTAACGCTTTCACGTTTACTTGTTTGGTTGATGGATTTCGCAAGAACGGAATGATTAGTGATGCAATCAAATTTTTCTTGAAAGTAACTGGTTCTGGTTCTGCAGGAGTCAAAGTAGACTCCAGTAATGGTGTTCTTTCTTTCCCTAATAAAGTTACATATTCTGCCTTAATCCATGGTTTATGGAAAGATGGGCAGTATTTTAAAGCCAATAAGTTTTTCATGGATCTACGACGCAACAATCTGTATCCAGATTTACCCACTTATGCCATGATGATAAAACGTCATTTTGAGGCCGGGCACATAACTAGTGTCATGATGCTTAAGGCAGATATGTTAAAGACAGGTTTTATGCCTAATCTTTGCATGTACAAGGTCTTGCTTAAGGGCTACCAAGATATGGTTGATCTCCATTCAACTTGTAAGTGTTATGAGGAATTAATAGATTCAGGTCTGGTTGGTTCCGCAGCATCTCTAATGCAAAGCCTCCAGGATCATGTAAATAACAGTACCCTGTCAACTTCCCTGTTAACTTAACTAATTGTTGTGCTAGTGGCTTCCTTATCTGTAAAATTCAGTATCTTCCGAGAACCACCAAGCCTTTTGATTCGTGCTGATTATCTTGAGTGTCGCTGGGTCAATTTCGCACTGGAGAAGTGCGTGGGGCACCCTCAATCTTCTGGGAATCGATCATCATCGAGGCTCAAGGATCCCCTGGGGTTACAAGTATTGCTGGAGCTATGGGATATGCAAAATTTCATAGCGTTTAATGGACAATATCCTGCAGACACTATGGCAGGGGAAGACCGTGGAGCAGCTGATAATCTAAACATCAAGCGAAAGATATATCAACATGCAGGACCCTGCATACAGAGAGTTGTCAGATATCTGATACTATGGACAGGTATGCCCGACCAATAAGAGGAAGGAAATGCAGAATCTCATTTCCCTGCAGGCCCATGAGTGTGGAACCTCCAGGCCTAAATTGTTGTAGTATCACTGGTATTCAACCCCAGTTGGTGACTGTCATATGGGAGAATTCTGGTCAAACACAAATCATGTTTGGTGTTATGATTTTTTTTTAAAAATAATCTTGGTGATACTCATAATTGCTAAAAGTGCTAATGCATTGCAAGCTAAAAAGGGTAACTCTTATTCTGTGCTTGTGCTAAGTGCACACAGATATAAATGACTTGACAATTCCAATCATTTTGACTTCCTCACCTTTACATTGTAGTTCTCCTGTGATGGGTCACCCTGCATCTTGTACTTCATGCAGCATCTAATCCCCTGGTACTGCAGGGGCGGATCTATAGCCCCAATTAAGGGGCACGTGATTAAATGAACCCATGGTCTCACAGTCAAATTAGGTATTTTATGTACATATATTTTAGAATTAGTCTAATATTATCTGCTGACTCCCATGCTCCAAAAAGATTGATGATGCACTTGATTGAATGCTGGGTTATTTACCTTTAGGAACGTGGATCAATTCCCACTTAATACTTTTTTTCTACTTTTTTTGGTGGTGCACCCATGTTCAACAAATCCTAGATTTGCCTCTGCCTGGTAGACCAGGTTTCACTATATATAAGTTTCTTCTAGCAGTGATGTTTGTCTTAACTCTTATCATGGTGTTATATGTGCTGGTCTCACGACATTTTGTCTTGGTTGACTATCAAATGTGGCTGGCCTTCTTCAGACGGAGCTTAATGCATTGGATTCCCCTCCCCTCCCCCTCCTAACATGCAGACCAGGGCTGTGCTAAGCCCGCATTTTTCAGTTTGGTTCAACTGTAATTGGCTCGTCAGTGCTGCAACAGTGATGTGTTACGAGCTCTGAAGGTTCACACAGTCAGTATCCTACATTAAGAGCAAAACATATATACGTCGCATTAAATGCATCACTGTGAAAGAAGAATATTTGTGAAGTTTAAAGAGCTCAACCTGCCCTCAAGGCTTTGGTGTAGTGCTAAGAGCATATGCATGATGTGTGGCTTAGGCGCACGTCATGGACTCAAATTCTGAAGTAGACCAAAATCTAATATTTAAGTGGAAATAAATAGAGGGACATTCCCCATTATCCACCGAGTTTTGCATTACTGAATCTCGAAGATTTCTCGATTATCAAAAATAAAGTTGAAAGGCCTCATATCCCTTTCTAACAAAAAAAGGTACTATAAAAGAAGTGGGTAGAACCAAGGAAAGCAGAGGACAAGATATATAGGACTGAAACAAATTGAACACAGTATACAAACGTGGACAAAAAGGATGAATAGAAATGCAGGCTTCCTAATTATTCATAGAGAAAAAGTAATAAATTAATAGAGTCCTCAACTTCTGGTTTCACATTGTATCTGAGTCCCATCAAAAAGAGAAGAAAAGAAAAAGAAGAAACGATTTTATGGAAAAGACTAAACGATAAGCTTTCACTTCTCCATACCTTATCTTAACAAATTTATGTGACTACGTCCCCAATCTTGCAACTTATTATCATATAGTAGAAATTAACAAAGGAAAATAGGAAAGCAGTTTTGATCAAATTAATGATACGTAAATGACTTTAATTTGTAGTCATTAGTTGACCGGTTGATTTTTATTTTTTTTAGTTGCAGTAATCTTTAATTATTTCTGGTTTTGTAAGAGTTAAGAAATAACCTTTTTTAAAGGTTAATTAAACACTTTTAAAAAGGATATCATTTTCAAATTGTTGACGACTTTCAATATCTTGCCAAAATAGTGCCTCATAAACTTTTCTTTATATTCCGCGTTTATCCTCATAGTATTTCTTTGGCGTCAATGGAACTAAAATGTTTCTTTTATTAGCATCTATTAATCGCCAAGGGATATTTTCATTAAATTGTCCAATTTATCCTCCTTCTCCTCCATACTTTTAGTATCCTGTTTTTGTTTTTGTTTTTCTTTATTCAGCAAAGATTAGTTACTGTTACTTTTCATTTTGCGCTTAATCAATCAAATAGTCTAATTAAATTAAACTGTTAAATCCAACTTCTTTTAAGACTTGAAGAGTTTACTGTTTTCAGTGGGGAAAGAAGAAACTGAAGATGTTGCGTGTATATGATATATATACTTCACGTTTCTACAGTCTAAATGAATTAACAGTAAAACATCTTATAATTATATAAATACGAATGAGATATTTCGTAAATATATAAGGATAATATCGAATTAAAATGAATAACCCAACGGAAAAATGAATAATGAGAATCCAAGAACTATGCAAACATTAACTCATGGCCACTCCGCTTAGCAGAATGGAAAGCAATGTTGAGTTAATTAAAATCAGTAAAAAGTTTAACGGTTAAAATTAATTAATTTGATATATGCAAATGTTAGATTCTGACCTTTTGATCAATGAATTATTAGCTTAACTACTTAATTACACAAAAAACAAATGATATATTGTTCTCTTCTAAAAGACTAAAACAAGCGTTACCCAGGCCCTTTTTAATAGCTAGCTTTTGTAGTAAATTTCTATCAGAGTCTTCTATTTTATTTTATTTTGGTTTCTCATCCTGTGTTCGGTACCCGCATCGGAGCACTACTATATCCGGATTCGCACTGCGTAAGGCCCCATTCGGGAAAGCGCTTCCTACCATGGATTTTTCCATACCCAGAGCTCGACTCGAGACCTCTGATTAAAGGAAGAACATCTCATCCATTGCACCGTATATTTGGTGGTACGGAGCCTTCTATTAAATCCTACAATCTACGGTTTTAGGTAGACCTCTTTTTTTCGATAACTTAAAAATTGAGATAAAATTAGTGCATACAAAGTCAAAAGTCATCTAGTTTGACTTTTTATGATCAACCAAGTATATGTCCTTAATCTCTTTTCTAGTATGTATAATTTCAGTGAAACATTATCCTAGGACTGCTCTAAATGACTATATGAAGTCATAGAGAACAATGCGCAATTTAATTCTGTAAAACCAAAGTCAATCTTGTTAATGACTTAAACTTTCATTATCATGATTTACCAAACTGCCCACAAAATTTCAGTAAAACGATATGCGCTGATAATGTAAAATATATTTATAAAATCAAGTCATTTATGAAGTAAATTTTATGATAAATATGTAATCCTATTGAACTATAATGCTAGTATAAAATTTTTTACTCTATTGATGTATAAAATTTAATCTCTTTAAGATAACTTAGAGGATTAATTACGTGTCAAGGATCACTTATTATACTATGAAACCAATTGGTTTTTAATGATGTCAATGTCGACATAATGATAGTAGGCTACACGTGAGAATATTTAATACTACTAACATATATTATTACAAAAATTACTTTAATGTTTAAATATATGACGAATTGTTGGACGTGAGCCAATATAATTGGTTAGCAAATTCTCCAATAGAACAGTAGATTACAAGTAATGACTTTTTTTAATTTGTTAACCCCTTCCGAGAAAAAAAAATCGTTTTAGTATTGGTTTCTGATAGTGTATGCTAATTATAATTGAGTATTGTTTATGACAAAGTGGATATTCATGTGATTACATTTAAAATACTGAATTATTGAATTGTAGGGCGATCTTGAGAAATTTAATTTAGTATATACTTGATTTCTTAAATAAATAAAATTAAATAAAAGGCTTATAGATCCAAAAACTCAATCTAGAAATGTATATTAGTAAAGAACTACTGTACCAACAAAGTTGGATCATTTCTCTACGATTAATGCGTGTATGTAACTAGCACTTGCCAATTGTCATGTATATCAGGGGCAGGTGTAGCCTATACCGGATACGACCCATAACTTTTGACATGGAATAAATATATATATATTAAAAATTACTAAAATCTCAATAATATTATATTTGAACCCTTAATTTTAATAATATAATAAGTTTAATTTTAAAAATTTTTAATAATATAATAAGTTCAATTTTAAAAATCTTAAAAGTTGAAACCATTAAATTTAAATACTAAATTTGCCTTTGGTATATTCCATTTATTTAGTGTAAACATGGGGCAGGAGTAGTATTTTTTTTTCATTTTTAAATTTAAATCCGATATTCTAATAAATGTTCTTGAAGTCTTGATTCGACGCTGAATTTTGACGACAACGATAAAAAATTTACTGATTTTAAACAGATAAAATATAAAGAACTCAATAAGAATTCATTGTTTAGGGATAACATGACTGCATATTCTATAAGAATTTATGAACTCTATCTTATTTGCAATTACAAGAAAATCACAACCAAGTGGATAAGATATAATTTGTGGATTATAAAATTATATGTTTGATTGAAGTAGATTTATGTTAATAATTTAGTACTGTATGTTTTTGTATGTACCTCATATGTTTCTATCCAAACGTAGAGAAGAAGAATCTTTAACACTATTTTCATTGTGTCGAAGAAGAATATAGTTTCTTCTATATTACCAATTGTATACGGTAAAAAGCGGGACTACCCGATTTCGTTCTTCAATAGAAAAAGTGATACCACGTCGAGAGGCCAGGACACCGAGCTCGGGGTCGAGGCTCTTTTCCAATATCAAGGTCGAGATCGATAACTTTAGTTCGGGGTCGGAAGACGACCCACTTCGAGATAATACCGTTATCGTTCGGTAATAGAAAGAGCGAGATTCTCACAACGACCCAAAAATCACGACGTAAATTCCGGAACGGATTAGTCCTTGGCGGTTAGACAGCTGTATAATAAGATTTCATACTATAATTAGAAGTGTACCTTATTTAGGATTCTCCTATTATATAAAGGGGGGCTCATTCATTTGTAAGACACGGATTCATTGACAAGAGAATATACATTCATCACTTTCTTGCTTATTGTTCATCAGAGTTGTCTTATAATTTACTGTTCTTACTAACCCACCTCGAGACTATCATAGCTCGAGGTCCGAACTTGGCTTGCACGCTGGTTTGACTTACTTTACTCTTCAATTTATATATTTAATTCCTTCTTTATCAATTGGAATTGGACTAAATCACATATCTTTAAAACCACAATTTAAGTTTAATTATTAATCGAATTTTAAGGTAAACACCAATATATCAGATTATAATTAATTATGTCACCATACTCTTATTTGTTAATTATAAGTTTAATCATATATTCTCTAAATTCATTCAGTATAATTATTCGAGCTGAATTTAAATTATTAAGTTAATTCTAGGCAGAATTTTATTGTAGTCGGGTTCGTGCCAATGTAACTTTTTAAGTAGTCGAGTTCGAGCAAATATCAATCCTATCCATCCTATCCAACACAACCCTTTGGTAAATTAATTATTTTGGCCTATCACTTATTGGTAAATTCATTTGTTTCATTTGATTTTTCAAATATTTGACTAACATAACACATTCAACTAATTGAGCTATACACCTTTAATCCCTTCTAACAGAGTTACAAAATTGACTATTTTTTAATTATTAAACCGTCTGACAATTTTCATGTTGGGAAAAAACAATAACAACAACGACCCAATAAAATATCACTAGTAGGTCTGAGGAGGGTAGTGTACGCAAACCTTACCCCTATTTCGAAGGAGTAGAGATGTTATTTCTGAAAGACCATCGGTTCATGAATGTTTTTTAGCTATATAACATTTTTCACATGAGATCAACAAAAAACTTGCGTAGTTGCAAATCGACAACCAATAAAAAGGATCAAAGCACAATTATTGCATTATGAGATTTATTTATGAATCATGACAATAAATACAAATTATGCATAATGGAGGGAGAGGGGTCCACAGCATATAGATTTCCAAAGAGACAAAACACAAGAAAATATCACAAACTCACCAACCTGATCTCCCACAATCTCATGCTTATAACATTCAGTACTAAATTCATAACTTCAACATCACCATATTAAGTAGCCCTAGATAAGCAACAAGAAAATATAAAATAAAAATAAAAAAATCAAAATATAACATTGTTTTCGTGCGACGGATTCAAGCCCGTATAAAGAAATTTTTACATTATCAGTTCAGCCTTTTGTATCGATATGATTTGGATTTTGGACATCGGCCTTCAATGCAACTTAAGAAATCAGAAATCCATGCACATACAATTAATTCCACACCATAATAACTACTACTAGTGCTGACTCTTCTCTGCTCTTTCTTCTGATTTTTGCTTATTTCAGCAACCCCAGAGGCAGTCAAGGCTCTGATCTTCAAGTAATCTTCTTCCCATTTCAAGATTTGACACAATTGAGGAAATTTCATTATTCATGTCAGTGCTTAGCTTTGTTTCTTGAGATAAACTAACTATTTCCTCTTTCTTAAAATTCTGAGTATAATTCTCAAGTAAAGTCTTAAGAATTGTAGGATTTTGCATGCCAAATGAAACTTGACTTTGGAAGCTGCTCTGAACTGGGACTATTTGGTTACAAGAAAATGTATTTATGGGAATATTATTCATTGGATTTGAGAGAGCAGAGAAATTAGGAGAATTGTTGAAACAATTGATCAAGTTTTCTTGGCTCTTTTGAGCAGTAAAAAAATTGGAGAAGCAGTGCACGTGGCTAGATTGGGAAGCAGAAGGCTTGATCTTGCTAGTATAAGGGGAAGAATCTGTCAATGGTGGCAGACAATTACTATTCGCCATTTCATTTTCATCAGAATTCAGCTTCACTAGGCCTGAAATATGGATTTTCTTCCCACCACAGCTCTTTTGAAATACTCTGCAAATGACCCATTCATTCTACAATACAGTAAAAAAGAAGAGTGAAAAATAGAATCTTGATGCAGAGGCGGACAGGGGCGGATGCAGCATAGGAGTGCGTTGAACCCACTATTTTCCACGCACAACAAATAAGTAGGTGTAAAAATCCACCAAAATTACAAAAAGTAGTAAATATGAATCCATAATTTTAAAAATACAATTGATTCAATGCTAAGAATAATTGAGGTCGAACCCATAGAATTAAAATCCTAAATCCACCTCCGGAGGCGGATCTCGTATTTGATGTTTATAGGTTCCTACCGGGGCGGATGCACACCTAAGGAAGCGGTGTCAAGTGACACCGCTTCGTAGAAAGTTTTACTAAATATATGTATTAGTACTGTGAGAAAATAGATAAGTAGGAAAAAAATGACACTATTTGACATAAATTATCTCTTGGTTTAAAAATTGTGATTAAGTAGAATTGGACTTATGACTTTTTCTATCTTAACACTCAATAAAATCAATAGATCAAGGTTATTTCTTGTCTAGAAATATGATAATTAAAGTTATTATTCTCATTCATCTATAAATTTCGGCAACCCTTTGAGAAATTTTTGCTTACGCCTTCGGGTTCTTACATATTATAATAGTAACTCGATTTCAATATTTATAGATATTTAGTGAATTTTTTAAACATATATGTACAGATTGGACAAAAGCACGGTGGATCCGCCCTGCTTGATTGAAAGAGGGGACAGAAGAAAAGATGACAAGAATGACCTTTGCTGTTTTGGGCAGATTTTGAAGAGACAATCTTCCCTCAAGTCTATATTCATGAATGACCCAATTTGTCTTTTCACCTTTTGGAGCTCTCCCTTTGTAGAAAACCAGAGTTTTCTTCATCCCAACTAGAGATTTTCCTCTGAAAATCTCCCTGTCTTTTCCAGTTGCTTTCCAATAACCTGCAGCTGTTGCCCTGTTTGTCCTCAGCCCTGTTGGGTACTTCTTGTCTCTCACACAGAAAAAATACCATTCTTTTTCCCCCATTTTTGCCTTCCCTACATTCCCAAACAAACAAAAAAAATCATTAAAGATATCATATCTGAAACTAACAACAACAATAACAACAAAAGGTAAGGTCGGCTATATGAATTATTAGTATTCATGTCGCTCCATTTAAACACGTCCATCTCAATCCATACATGAAAAATGGATAGTTTGGTGCACGAAACAACCCGTGTTCATGCAGGGTCCGGGAAGGGCCGCATCCTAAGGAGTGTGATGTAGATAGTCTATCCTGATTCAAGCATCATGACTGATTCCACGGCTGAACTTGTGACCTATAGGTCACACACAAAAACAACGGAAACAACTTTACCGTTGCTTCAAGACTCTTTTTTCTAAGTCCACATATGAATTGGGGAAAATGAAAAGATTATAAAGAACTAGTTTGAGAAGCTTACATGGGAGGTCCCAAGGTTCAAACTTGTTCAAATCTACTTCTCCAATAGCAATAGCAAAGAAATTGCTATCCACAACTTTGTTAGACAAATAATGAGTAATCAATTCTTCATCAGTTGGATGAAATCGAAATCCAGGAGGTAATTCCATCTGTTGATCATCCTCCTTAACAAGTCCGGAATAATTTTCCATCAATACCTAAAACTTAAGATTTTTGAAAACTGCTTCTATTTTATGTAATCAAGAATTAATTATTTCACTTGTATGCACACTGATAAAGATTTTATTGACCACCACTCACCAGCTGGCTCTGAAATATAAATGGGATTTGGCCAAACAGCTCAAAAGACCATGAGAAAGAATACTAAATCAAGAAAAGTAGGAAGAAATGGGGAAGTTGGAGAAAAAAGGTAAAGAGAAGCCATGGAACTAAACTGAAGGAATGAAAAAAAGAAGTATGAGGAATACAAGGCAATAAATAGAGGTTTTGG